CCCAGGCACAGGTAATGCCTGGGGCAAGGCCCAAAACTGAGACGAAGTCTATGCCTGGGGCAAGGCCCAAAACCGAGTCCCAGGTAGTGACTGGGGCAAGGCCCAAAAGCGAAACCCAGGCAGTGGCTGGGGCAAGGCCCAAAAGCGAATCCCAGGCAGTAGCTGGGGCAAGGCCCAAAACCGAGTCCCAGGCCATGGCTGGGGCAAGGCCCAAAGCTGAAGCAAGGGCAGTAGGGGGAGCACGTCCTAAGACCGAGGCCAAGGTAATCCCTGGGGCAAGGCCCAAAGATGAAGCCCAAGTTTGGGCCCAGACTGAGTTTGGGGCTGAGGCAATGTCGCAAACAGAAGGCCTGACCCAGACCAGTGCTGTAGCCTGGCCACTCGTCAGTACTGAGTCTGGGTCAGTTGCTAAACCTATGGCCCTGTCTGTGGACAGGGAGCTGGTCAATGTGGACACTGAGACGTTTCCTTGCTCCCAGGTTGAGACAGGAGTTCAACCCTGGTTTGGATCAGGGGAGGAAGCTAATATGGGGTCTTGGTGCTATCCCAGGCCCCGGGCCAGAGAGGAGGCCTCTAATGAGTCTGGATTCTGGTCAGCAGATGAGACCTCTACAATGTCTTCTTTCTGGGCTGGAGAAGAGGCCAGTATCAGATCATGGCCCAGGGAAGAGGCCAATACCAGGTCCAGGCACAGGGCCAAACATCAGCCTAACCCCAGGTCCAGGCCCAGATCCAAGCAAGATCCCTATATTGATTCTTGGTCTGGGTCTGAAGAGGAGTCTGGCAACCCATTTTGCTTGTGGGCTGGGGAAAATACCAATAACCTGTTCAGGCCCAGAGTCAGGGATGAGGCAAATATGAGGTCCAAGCTCAGGACCAAGAGAGAGGACTTTTTTGAGTCTGAGTCTGAAGATGAGTACTATAAGGAGTCCTGGTTTTTGCCTGGAGAAGAAGCCAATAGTAGCTTCAGGACCAGAGACAAGGAAGAGCCTAATACTGTCTTGAAGCCCAGGGCCCAGAAAGATGTTAATCACAGCGGTAGGGTCAAACAAGAGCCCAGATTTGAAGAGGAAGTCATTATTGGGTCCTGGTTCTGGGCAGAGAAAGAGGCGGGTATGGAGGCTGGGGCTTCTGCCATCTGTGAATCCACACCAGGGGCCGAGGAGGGGGCCATTGGTGGATCCTTGTTCTGGACTGAGGAAAAGTCCAGTTTGGGGGCTGTGGCCAGAGAAGAGGCCAGGCCAGAGTCTGAAGAAGAGGCCATATTTGGGTCCTGGTTCTGGGATAGAGATGAGGCCTGCTTTGACCTAAATCCCAGTCCTGTGTACAAAGCCAATTCTAGATACAGAGATTCAGCTGAGGATGAACTTAAGGCATCATCCAGGCCCCAGACCTGGGAAGAGGTCACTGTTGAATTCAAACCTGGTCTTTGTCATGGGGTTGGCTTCCCATCCCCAAGCTCCTTTAGAATTCCTGAAGAAGCAGCATCTGTATTCTCTGAAATGTTTGAGGGAAAGCCCAAGAATACAGAATTTACCCCAGAAGGGGAAGACCAGGAATCTTTGCTTCAGTCTGAACAACTTGAACCTGAATTCCCATTTCAGTATGATCCATCCTACAGGTCAGTCAGGGAAATTCGGGAGCATCTTAAGGCCAGGGAGAGTGCAGAGCCTGAGAGTTGGTCCTGCAGCTGCATACAGTGTGAGCTTAAAATCGGTACTGGAGAGTTTGAAGAACTTCTTCTATTAATGGACAAAATCCGAGATCCTTTTATTCATGAAATATCTAAAATTGCAATGGGTATGAGAAGTGCTTCTCAATTTACTCGAGATTTCATTCGGGATTCAGGTGTTGTCTCACTTATTGAAACCTTGCTCAATTATCCTTCCTCCCGAGTTAGGACAAGTTTTTTGGAAAATATGATTCACATGGCTCCACCTTACCCAAATCTAAACATGATTGAGACATTCATATGTCAAGTGTGTGAGGAAACTCTTGCTCATAGTGTGGGTTCCCCTGAGCAGCTGCTTGGATTAAGGATGCTTAGACACCTCACTATAACTACTGACTACCACACACTGGTTGCCAATTATATGTCTGGGTTTCTTTCCTTATTAACCACAGGCAATGCAAGAACAAAGTTTCATGTGCTGAAAATGCTATTGAATTTGTCCGAAAATCCAATCGTGGCAAAAAAACTATTCAGTGCCAAAGCTCTGTCGATATTTGTGGGTCTCTTTAACATAGAGGAGACAAATGATAATATTCAAATTGTTATCAAGATGTTTCAGAATATCAGTAATATCATAAAAAATGGAACTATGTCCTTAATTGACGATGATTTCAATCTTGAGCCACTTATTTCTGCATTCCATGAATTTGAGAAGCTAGCTAAGGAACTACAAGTCCAGATAGACAATCAAAATGATCCTGAGGTGGGACAACAAAGCTAATATGAATAACCACCTGCCTTTGATCAGCCTTATGTTCCCAAAGAGCCCTGAGTAGTGCTTTGGTTTTCACAGTCTGGTTTTATGTTGTAACTTATATTTTAATGCTGATGTTAACTTTGTCCATTTCTTGATTTGAGCTGCATCATTTTGTGGATGCCAAATGAATATTAGAGCTGAAAATATATCTGTTGATATTTGTCTTGCTGTCCAGATTGCAATATTTTTCAGTATTGAGCTTCTGATGAACTAAGTCGCCTGTGTACGCTACCCTGCTATTTGTTGTTTAAACATATGGTTCTCTATTCAAGTCTGTTTTCAATAAAGGTCTATGTGAAAATTGGCAGAAATGACCCTTCAATTTGAAACCAGGTACATATATATACATTGTGCATATTTACAAAGAGATAATTAGTATGACAAACACCTTCATTGAAAAATTGCATTCCCGGATTTTAAGAAGGGATTTCTGCAGGCTGTGGTATTTGAGAAATGCTTCAGCAAGGAAGGACCCACTTAAACTGGTCACTAAAGTGTAGGAGAGGACAGACCATTAGGTCATTCTTAGAAATGAGCTGTGGTGGTGTGAAGAAAAGTGTGTGATTAGAAAACCTGTCTCAGCAGCATGGATGTACCCTGTCTGCCTGGAAGAGGTAAGGCAAAATTTAGTCAAGGTTTCAATTGAGCAAGGTGAGGGGTGCAGCTGGAATGACGCCCACTTGGAAAGCTAAGTCAGCCAAATCTGCACATTTTACAACTAGTACTGTTGTTGCTTCAGTACCACTTAAAGAGTGGAGTACAATAGCACACAAATTAAATGGAGTCAGGAATAAGATTTCCTTTGTGATGATCCTAGTCCAAGGAAAATAGTAAGGGAATATGCAGCTTTTAAAAATGATCTATTTACTGGCATGAAATAACACTGATGGTTTTATGTCCAGTGAAACAGAAGGATGTGATTATCTATGGAAAACTAGATTCCATTTTAAAAAATCTTGTGTGTAAATTGACACAATTTCTATGTAATTTCAATATGCCTAAGAAATTTCATACACTATAGTCTGGAATAAAATACAGCATATTAAAAAAATTTCAGAGACAAGCATTGGGGATATACAAAAATTACTAAGATGTTTTTTTTCTTTTAATATGCTTATGTCTAGTGCCTCAAGTTATAGGTGGACATATTGGAAAGGATACAGTTACATAAAAAAAAATGAGCTATGTGTTAAATGTTTAGAGATAAAAACATTTAGAAAAGTTGAAAAGGAATGTTTCCCTTTAGAGTGGTGAAGATTGCACAGCATTGTGACTATGCTTACTGCCACTCAATTGTATACTTTAAAATGGTTAACATGATTAAGTTTTAGGTTATGTGTATTTTATGCAATAATAAGTAAATAGATTATATCATACCTTCAGACAGAAGAATTGCAGAAATCAGGAACAGAGTTGGTTTGGAGAGAGAATCCAGACTTATGAAAAGCATATTTTATTATTTTTAAACATGGTGAAAATGGTATTTCTGTTTTGTCTGAGGATGCTAATTTTTGAAAAGGTAAAATTATAACTTGTAATTTAGAAATTAGATTAGGTGAAAGATTTTTTTTCAACACGAGGAACTGCTAAAAATATAAAAAATGGTTGAAGGAGATATGTATACATACACAATATAGAAAAACAAAATATATGTATATTAAATGTTTTACACAGAAAATAAATGTTAGGATGTAATTTCTGGATTAAATACAAAACTAGTTAATATTTTAAGGATAATCCATTGTAACCGTTGATGTTATCTGTCCACTGAACATAAATCGTTTCCATATCTGTTAGACAAAATATCTACAAATTAAAATCAGCTTCTGTGTTGAAAACTTCAATAGAAAGTGAAGCCCAGCACTGCACTGGAATAATATCCAGTAATCCATGCTGTCCTTAGCCAAGTTATGTATAAATTTTCTGACTGTGCAACATGTTTTTTTTCCACCACTCTGGTATGCAAGGTTTATGGAAGTAAGGCAAAGTGGCAGTTTTGCCTGCCTTCCCAAACCACAAGCGTTAACAGGGATCGTCCTGGTAGTGGACACTGGAGTTTGAATGCTTGTTTTGCTCATCGATATTTTTCAAGGTAGACTGTGTGTGTGTGTGTTTTAATATGTCGCCCGAGTATCATACAGAATAATAAAAATCAGTTCGTCTCCAAACTCCTCATCGAGTATTCCTCACCAGCCCTGTGTCCTAACAGAGCAAGGCCCAGGTCTAGTACTAGGGCTGGAAGCTCTGGCTCCAAATCCAGCTTTCCTTCAGCTCTATCTTCACCAGGACAGGAGCTTCGGATTCTTCTAGCAAGCGTCTCAACGATTCTACCATCCGTGCGGCAGGGCTGCGGCAGGCAAGCTGACTGACTGCGCGGTCACGTGAGGCTGGTGGTGGCTCACGTGACCACGCTCTCACTTGGGCAAACACAGAGGTGTGCAGCACGGAAAAGGGGCAGGAAGGACATACACCTGACGAGTGACAGACTGCCGTGGGAGGAGTGGTAGGACGTTGTGGTGGGTGGGTGGGGGTCTCTCCATGCTGCACTAACCTGGAAACGAATTTCTTGGGCGATCAGAATTACAGCATTTGTTGGTAGAGGGCACAGCCCCTCGGCCTGTTGCCAGCGTCTTAGCCGGGGTCAGTCTTTTGCCCAGGAGCTCAAGAGGCAGGAAGTCATCCTGCGGGAGGAGGACGTGAGAGAAGCAGCGGTTGCTGTTGGAGGAGGTGGGTGCGGGGCCGGGAAATGGCATCGGTGGGAGGTGGTGGCTGAGACTAGGTGCGGGTGCAGGGAGTGCCTCGGACACTCCTGCTCTCTGCTCTCTCCTGCCTTCCGAACACCCCTCCCCCACTCCCAGCCTTCCCGCCCCGCTCTGAGTGATTCTGTTTGTGGGTGTGGGAGGGGGACACACGGAGGGAGTTGGCGTCAGGGGAGCCTAAAGAGAGGAAATGGTGAAGTGACAATTCCTGAGCTCCTGAGGCACTGGATCTGGAAAGCGGTTGTGAGAATGGTGTAGGGGCCTCGGGCACGCTGCCTCAAAATGTGCCATTTTGGCATGCGGATTATTTGGAGCTGAAAATAAATGAGGCCCAAAAAGCTCAGGAGGAAACTTTGACCTCCCTGACTAACTGCCTAAAAATAATTTAGGTTGAGGGGCTCCTGGGTGGCTCAATCCTTAAGCATCTTCCTTCAGCTCAGGTCATGATCCCAGGGTCCTGGGATCCAGCCCCACATCGGGCTCCCTGTTCCGCCGGGAGCCTGCTTCTCCCTCTCCCACTCCCCCTGCTCATGTTCCCTCTCTAGCTGTCTCTCTCTCTGTCAAATAAATAAATAAAATCTTTTAAAAAAATAATTTAGGTTGAGAACCTACTCCAGGAAGAGAGCTACCACCATAGATAACTACAGTATGATATGAACTAGGGATGGTTGACAGGGAGGAATTTAGCAAAGTATCTGTTAAAATTCCTTTCTATGTCCCATTGTATCTGTATGGCTCCACTAACATTTGTTTGCCAAACATTCATTCTTTCCTCTTTTGAATTGCTTTCCTTCCCTTTGAAATCCCAAATCGCTACACTTTTTCTTAGTTAGGTATGACAAATTGACTCATTTTGCCTGTCTTTGGAATCTCATGGCTGTGTGGGTTCCTTGTATGTATGAAGTTAAGTTTTATTTTCTCCTGTTAATCTGCCTCGTCAATTTAATTCCTACTCCAGCTAGAAGAATCTAGAAAGGTAGAGAAAAAGATTTTCCTCAACAATGGAAACTATGAGCTACACTTCCTTCCTCTCACATAGTTGGCACTCTCTACTGTCTATATGTCTTCCAGACATTGGGGATGGCTGAGACCAGATCAAAATTGGGGGATGATGGGGGAAAAGAGGCAGGGTTACATCTGTCTTATATTGCAAAGTTCCAGCTTCCAAAAGATCCAAGAGTAGAATGAACCCCAATCTGAGAAACTCTAGGGAAGGGGTGGGGGACAGACTCAGGAGGAGGGAACCTAGAAGTTTCAGGCCCTTCACATGGAATTTCTCATTGGGATACCAACAAGTTCTTCAACTCCCAAGAGGATCCTTGGATCTTAGCCCCAGGCAGCAGTTCCTTCCCATTTAGGAGCACAAAAGTTGCTATTCGATCTGAGGCTCCCTCCTCCTGCTGTCCTGGGCCCCAGAGGAGGTTCTTTCTGGGAACCACTGACAGAAACTATTTTATGGATGGTCTCACATGTTTCCCTCTGTAGACACTTTGTCTTTTCCTTGTGATTTGTTCTCTGCTCATTTCTTAGGGCTTGTTCTTTGGTCTCATCCTAGGTACCAGCCCTTGGTGAATCCTTGACATCTTTCTAACCGAATGCCCTCCCTCCCATGCATCCACTGGATACCAATGCAGTTTAGGAAGGTGTCGCCAGGAAGTAATGAGTTTTCCCAAACCCTCTCATATCCTTATTTTTATACTCAGTATAGAGTTGAAACTATGCCATAATAATACTTCAGGCCCTCCTGTTTACATTTAAAAGCTAGGACTGAGCAGAGATTGAGGCCTAGGACGACCTCCTCCGCTCTTACTTCTTGCCTGCTTTGTTATTATCCTCTTCCGCCCACTTTCCAGAATTCTGGTAATATAAGTATTGGGTCCAATGTTCAGGTTATAGTCTTTCCTATATATATATATAAAGATTTTATTTATTTATTTGAGAGAGTGAGAGAGCAAGTAATAACAGGAGCAGAGAGGAGAGGCAGAGGGGAGAGGCAGAAGCAGACTCCCCACGAAGCAGGGAGCCCAATGTGGGGCTCGATCCTAGGACCCTTGGACCATGACCTGAGCTGAAGACAGACACTTAACCGACTGAGCCACCCAGGTGCCCCTAAGAAAGAATATATTTAACCTTTGTTCCTGGTTCTTGGCACAGAGCTTCAAAACACCTACAAATTTCTTGAGTTGATAGGAATGTATTTGTTGTGCTAATAAAGTGACTTTGGTGGGCCCCTAGATAGGTTCAGGATGTGGGCTGGTCACCAGTGAGACCAACGATGTGACTAGAGTGGGAACTTCAGGTGAACTGGGATTCTCAGAGAGGGGAGGAGGGCTGGATTTTGGGTTCAGTCATGTGGCCAAGGATTTAATGGATAATGTCTATATTGAATGAAAACTCAGGGCTCTGTGGGGCTTCCTGATTGGTAAAAACACTGATATCCAGGGAGGTTGATGTGGCATGAATCCATGGGAAGAGGGCTTGGGAGCTGTGTGTCTAAGACCCTTCCAGATCTTATTCTATCTGTATCCTTTATAATAAAACTTTAATTCTAAGTATAGAACTTTTAGTGAGTTCTGTGCGTTGTTCTGGTAAATTATCAAGCCTGAGGAGGTCATGGGAAACACTGAATTTATAACTGGTCACTCAGAAGTATGAGCAGCCCCTGTGACTTGTAATTGGCATCTTATCTGAAATGGGGCAGTATTGTTGGGGATTGAGGACTGCACCCTTAAACCTGTGGAGTCTGATGCTAAGTCCAGGTAGTTGGTGTCAAAGAACTGATGTCAGAACAATGGTGTCACACGTTCCTACTTTTTAGCAGCCATCCCTAGATTATTATCTGTTGCTGATCCTATGTATCATACATAAACAAGTTAAAATGTGGGAGGCAGAGGCCACCAGTATATTATGGGTGAAAAAAATAGCATGTGTTTTTGTGGCAAGCACTTGCAATTTAAATTATTTTTAAAGTTCTCTATAATTTCTATATATTTTTTCTCATTAGAGCTCCCTCCACCTAGAATTCCTGTTGGGAGTACTGTATTTATATTTGGGGAACTTCACATTGTGGCCTGGCTGGATACCTCTAAGTCCCACGTGCAACCTGAAGCAGATACTTAGCCAATTAACACCTGTGGATTTTTTCAATCTCAGCCAAAGGGCAGGGTAAGTGTGGTGTGTGTGTGTGTGTGTGTGTGTGTCCCCAAGTATGAAGATGATTATCTCTGTTCTGATCACTCCTTGGGTATGTAGGGGCCAGGATCATCCATCAGTTTTTTCCTGGGGTGTAGTTGAAGTAGAAACCTCATCACTCATATGGCCCTTTTGTTTCTGCACCTTTTCTGGATAAATATTATGAGCTATCTCAAGTAATAAATGTCAGGGCCCATTCAGATGTTACTTGACTTAAAATGTTGCTGCCTGGGGATAAAATTAGAGCAGATTTGTCATCAGTTCAGTCATGAATGAAAGAAAGGTATCTTTTTACAATACAGCTGGACTATTATCACTCACTGACCCTCTACTTTGTCCCTAGTTTTAAAAGAGCAACCTTCAATGGAATCTCATCTATAAAATATTACCAGGTTCTCTATGGAGAGTTTCAAGGCCCTGCACCCTTCCATACAATTCTACCTTTCTATCTCCATCTCCCAAAACATTCTTCCAAGTCAGAGCCAGGACTAGAATGAGATAAGGACACATTTTAAAGAGGCACTCACTTTCAGATACCTCACCCTAGTCCAAGCCCTTCTCCACTTTGCCTGCATTCAAGCCATATTGGACTATCTGCTTTTGCACAGCCCAGCTACACTTTGTGCTTTACTACTTCTGTGCCTTTCCCCACACTGTTCCCTCAATCTTCAATGCTCTTGCAACCCTTTCTGTGCCTATGAGAAACATAATCATCCTTTTAGGCTCAGTCTCAAATGCTAGGGTTTGAAGTCTTTCTGATCCCTTCACCCTTACTCTTTGCACGTTGGTAGGAAGTAATTCCTCCATCCTTTGTACTTATACAGTATTTTATTTGGCCCTATTTAGCATTTGTTTCTTTATATCATGTACTGAAGTCTTTCTTATGAGCAAGATAGAACTAGTGTAGAAGGACAGGTAGAAGAAGAAATTTGGACTCTAGAAGTCTGAACCAAACCCCAGTCTGTCTGACCACAATGCTTGAGCCTTTTACTACTTACAGTAGTAATAAGTGTTAGTATTAAGATTTACTGGGTGCTTTCTATGAGCCAGATGCTCTTCTAAGGGTTCTAAATGTATTAACTTATTTAATCTTCAAAACGAACGTATGGAGTAGGTGCTGTTGTTGCCTCCATTCTACAAAAGAGGAAGCTGAGACACAGTTAAGTGGTTAAGTGACTTACCCAAGCTCACTGAATTGGTTAGCAGAGGTACTGAGATTCAAACCTTAGTAGTTGGAATCTAGAGCTGGTATGTGTTACCATTATGCTACATCAATATCCCTCTAGTGCTAATTATCACTAAAAGCTGCCATCATCACCATCACTAACTTCATCATCAGATTTTGTTTCTTATAGCCTGTAGCAAAGGACTTTATTCATCATAAAGAAACTTAAATCGGAGTATTCTTAGACCTCTTGTCCCCTAGCTCCTACTTTCTGTGTATCAGCCTACTCCAGCTTTTCCTTCCTTCTCAATTTAATGGTCCATCATGGTCCATCATTTTTACTACTCTCCTCCCTCATCCTCTAGTGCCTGGCTTCACTGCCCTGGCAAAATCTCAGCTCTTGATAAATCCCAAATATTCACCTCTTCTTATACCTGTATTGCTTAGTGCAGTGCACCTGGGGAAAGTTAACTAAATTTTTCTGACTATTGACACTATGAATTTATCTTTTTTGACCTCAGTACAGTCCCCTGAATTGAAAGCAGATCATCTGTAATGTCTACATCGTGGATATTTCACAAGGGTGCATTTTCACACAGTGACTCTCTGAACTGAAACTAACTGAGCTCAAGCACTTAATGTACTTTTGAGCACCTTAGATAAGTCAACGCTTGGGTTTTCTGCCTGAAGCTTTCCTTTTCAGTATAGAACAGAAGCCAATCACAGTTGTCAGACCTCTAGCGATCATTAGGCAAGGTGTTCAGAATCTACAGTTTTCCTTTCACGTGGAAACATGAGTTTCTGACACTGGTTTTCAGAGGTAGGTGCTCACTGACAGACAAAAGTCAGGACCTATTGCTCATTGAAGAGTTGTTTTGTGCCTGAGCATACATATCATTTAGGATTGTTCTATTTTCATATAACAAGGAACTCAACTAAAATAAACCTAATAGGGAAATTATTATCCACAGATTGGAAGTCCTGAGGCAGAGCAGCCGTGATGGTTGTTTGATTCAGGTAAGGACGCCACTTTTTTCCATCGCTTTCTTCTGCTATTCACAATATCAACTTGTGTCCTAAAGCTAGAGGCTTGATAGCTCAACAGCTGCAGGTGTCAAGCAACTTCCTGAGGAAGAAAAGGAGACAAGCTTTCCTGATGGCCTTTTCTTATGAGTGAGGGCACTTTCCTCAGAAGTCCTTCTGCAATCTCCTCCTAATGCCTCACTGAGTAGAGTTATATCACCACCCCTTCCTGAACCAGAAGGTAACAAGGGGATGGATTACCCCTAGCAAGCCGACTCACCCCAGAACTGGGAGCAGCCTCCCTGTGCTACATGACTACAAGGAGGAGGGAGGCATACTTATGCAAAAATGACATTCTTGTAGTAAGGGGCTAGGTAAGCAATGCACTAAACAAAGTACTGAGGTTACAGTGACAAAGAGCTCAGTGGCAATATCTTACCAATCATGACCACGAAAAGCCACCGTGGAGTTCTCATCTATTCTTTCCTACTTTCCCCAGCCCACCTCATAATATGACTAGATCACAATTTTAAAAGGAACTAGAAAGACCTGACACATGCAGGTATTTCAGAATACCAGATACTTCCTAATTTAGTGTGCACCAGAATCCTGTGAAATAGTTATAAACAGCCTCATAAAAACATTAAGTACCTTTTCCAAAGTGACACAAATAGTAAATGGTAAAGTCTCTATTCAGGTTTTGGACTGCCTGGCTCTGAAGTCTGGCCAAGTTCCAGAGTTGAGCCCAGAGGAGAGAGACCTTTCTCTACCATCCAGCCTCTTTAAAAATTGCTTCCAAGGACTCAGAAACTGGCCATTCTAGTCTAAGCAAGCACTTAGTAGGACAGTGCACTGCCTCTTGGTGGTAGTGGTAGTGACAGAGGTGACTTTTTTCCTCCCATGGTTAAGTCACAGTTGCTCAGACCTCACCACCAAGAACTTTGGTTCTGGAAGTCTAAACTCTAGTCTGCACTCCAGGTTATAAACTTAGGGGCTGAGATGCCAGGTACAGGGAGCCATATAAATATTCTATACCCAGGAGGGAAAGAGCCAATATTTATGGAACAGCTCAGTTTTCAAGGACAACTTTATTCCCATATCTAATACACAGCTAAAAGGAAGAGGACAAATGCTATGTTCACTGGTCTTGTGCTACCCCATTAAAATCCATACGCCAGACTTCCAGGTTCAGTTAGGACATGTAAAGAGCTTGGAAGTCATTGCTCCTGTACTTCCAAACAGAAAAAAAAAAAAAAGCTGAACAAACTGAGAATCAATGACTTATCTTAGACCCATCAAAGGACTGAGGTTACAGGGCAAATAATCACCGCAAAGTCTGGAGAAAAGACAAATCTGGAGAGGCACAACCTCTCTCTCCTTACGTAGAGCAGAAACTGCTAGAAACATAAACATGTGAGAACACTTAAATGGTAATTTTGACAAATTGCTAGAGACTGAATATGGAATAGTTTGAGAGTGGGAAACCCCATGGGGACCTGCAGGCTTCGAGGTTTAGTGGGCTTTACCTCTAGGCAGTCCAGCATGTTCTCACAAGTGAACATCCCAGAAAGGTCCCCTCATGGTTCTGGAAGGGGAAAATACACTCTTGTGAATACATCAAGAACCATCTCCGGGATAAAGGCCTACTCTCCAGTGAAAAAGCCTTCCCCTGAGCCTTATCCCAGTTGAGGAAAAGGCATTCCTCCTGTTCAGCCCACTCTAGCCTTCCAATGTCACATAAGGAAGAGAAAGAATCTAAGAAGCACTTGTGAAGGTCATAGCCTAGGGACACAGGCCTACAAAACACTGGAGTTTAATCATAAGATTATAGAACACTTGCTCTCCTCCACACATTATCACATTGCTAAATGTGATATGGGACCTCCAGTGTCGTACAAGTGGAGTATAGCTAAAAGAGCTGCAAAAAGTAGATTCTGCAAGGAGTAATTAGGGAAGCCCAAAGTTTGGAGGGAGGATAAAATAAGGACACTAGAGGAATTTGAAGACCATAGCACTTGGGGCTACAGCAAACATTACCCACAGCCCAACTGCTAACCAGCTTAACTTAAAACTTCTCACTAAAGGTCTGTTCACCTCAGGTCCTATCACCCAATGCATCATATCCAGCTTTCAACACAAAATTAAAAGGCATGCTAAAAGGCAAGAAAAAGCACTGTTTGAGGATACAAAGGAAGCATCAGAACCAGACTCAGATATAATGCAGATTTTTTTTATTAAGATTTTTATTTATTTGCGAGAGAGAGAATGAGAGACAGAGAGCATGAGAGGGAGGAGGGTCAGAGGGAGAAGCAGACTCCCTGCTGAGCAGGGAGCCTGATGCGGGACTCGATCCCGAGACTCCAGGATCATGACCTGAGCCGAAGGCAGTCGCTTAACCAACTGAGCCACCCAGGTGCCCCAATGCAGATTTTTGAAGTATCAGATAGGGAATTCAAAATAAGTATGCTTAATATGTTAACAGCTGTAATGGATAAACTAGACAAATGTATATGGCAAGTGGCTGAGATCCAAGCTGGTTCTACTCCCTGCCACATTTCCACACGGCCAAAGATCATGAGAGCTTGGATGTGACTGCAAGAGAAGACTTGATAGACAGGGCAGTTGAAGAAGAGCCAGGACCAGCCCGACCCCTGGCCATGGGGGCAACAGACAGGAAATATCCCAGGACCCAGTGTGGGTCGTGCCTGGCGAAAAAAGGCCCTCTGTGGGCAACTGTGGGGACTGCGAAATGGCAAAAGCATGTTGCCAGTTTGAATGGGGGGAAAACAGCAGTGTGGCAGAAAGAATGGAGGCAGAGCAGTGGTTGGTTTTCTCGGGGTAGGGGTGTAGGTCTGCCTTCCTTTAGAAAAGGCGCAGTGGTGAGGCCTCCGTGGGGGCCCCCTCCCACCTTCCTCCCTTCGGTGGCCCCGCGAAGCAGTGAAGGAAGAACGTGGGACGGCCACCCACCCCAGAACCTCCGGGGCAGTGTGGCCCTAGGTCGCCTTTCCCCTCGCAGCCTGCTGTCCTGACAGGCCCTGGCCCACCGGCCTCCAGTTAGGATGGTGGACAGAACGGGGGAGAGGGAGGTGGACAGACACTGAACAGTCGGGGGCCTCTCACACACCGAGGGGCGACTGATATCCATCCGCTGCTGCCGGCAGCGCACCTTCCCCGCCCCGCCGCCCCCGACCTCTGGGTCCTAGCCCCCACCGCCAACCCTCGCGGGGTCCCACGGGTTGCAGGGCCAGCAATGAGGGGTGGTCGCCGCGCAGGTCCGCAGGGGCGCGCTGCTGTGAGCCCGCCCCTTAGGCTGGGGCTCCTCCCGGCCCCGCCCCCTCTGGGTCGGAACTAGGGTGGGCCGGGGAGGGGGCGTCGAACCCATTCGTGCCGTATCCCTCCGCCCCCCTTCCCGACACCCTCGCCGCGAGCGCTTCGTGCCGCATCCTGCGCAGCCCCTGCCCAGTTTGGCGCAGCGGCGCGGGGGGCGGGACACCTCTTTGCGATTCTGGCCGCACGCAAGGCGGTGGGAATCCGAGTGAAGAGCGCCGAGAGAAGGGGGGAGGCCAACGACCTGCACCTTGAGCCTGTGAAGGCAAGCGGGGGTGTCGTGGGGGGAGGCGGGGGGGGCCCCCACTGTCGCCCGGCTTCCAGCCTTCCCGGACCCCAGACCCTGGCAGCCGGGCCAGGAGGAGGCGACCCGGTCCCTGAGCTGGTCCCTCAGAGAGGTGCGCAGCGCCGCGGGACCCCTGGCGAGGAGAGGCGGCGACTGGCGCGGGCCGGGCCCAGGGCACCGCGGCTGGCCGGAGAGGCTCCCGCGGATCCTCTGGAGGCGAACTGCGCCCGCCACTCCGCGGCCAGCTTTCCAGGCGCCCGCGACCCGCCGTCGACGGTGCCCGTGCCGGGAGAGAGCTGTGGGGGGAGGCTGCTGCGGAAGAAATGGCGGAGTGGGAGCTGGGGTGGGGGGCGCCCAGGGAGGCCGCCGGGGCGGGGGGCGGGGGGGGGAGATGGCGTCCGAGCTCTGTGCCCAGCTGGCGGGGAGCGGGTGGCCGGTGGCGTCGGCTACTCCGGGCCCTGATTCTGGAAAGGGGCCTGTTGGGTCCCGGGCCCTGGGCGCTGTCCTTTCCCACAGCTGCCTGGTTGATGCCAAAGTCTTTCTGTGTGGTAGATCTGGCGCATTTAGCAAAAGGGCAGTTGAGTGGGTAGATTATGAAGACATCAAAATGAAGTGTTTATCCACTTCATAATATTGCCTTCCACATTTATATTTTGCACCCAAATAAATGCAAGGAAATGACAGAGTGAGGAGTAGATCACCTTTCACAGGAAGGGTCTGTGTGAAGAAATAGTGTGGCATTAATCCACCTTTCTCCTTCAGGATCCTTTTTCTCAACATCGCAGCCCACTTTAATATGTTGAGGTGTGGGAATGGTGGGTCAGAATGGAGGGAAATGTTTTCCGAAGGGTCAATTTAAACCCTATGACGTTTATACTTACTTCCTGATTCTTCAAAAGGTGGTGTTAGGACCTGAATTCTGGGAAACTGTCTATTAACCTGGTATTTTGCTGCCATTGTCAGTATATTCTCTTGGTGTTTTGCTGAATGCTCCTCCTCCTTTTTGCAGGACGTGACTCTTCTCCAGCTAAAAACTGTTCTTTGGTGGGAAGGATAGAAGTTCCTGAGGACCCCTGCTGTGTAGGCTGGCTGGCATCGGTGGCAATGAGGTAGTGTCTGTGTATGCATGGGGAAACGGTAGGGGCATGCAAAAATGGTATTGAAATAATAGTCACTATTATCTTTACTGAGTGCTTTCTAAATACAGTTGCCTACATTCCACTGTCCACTCTCCCGTCTCATATTTTGTTCAGGGAAAGAGGTGTGGCCTCTGCTGGGAAAATGACAGAATTAAAAATTAGGAGGAAGTATAATTAGACAAGCTGCAGGTCTTGGGGGAATGGATGCAAAATCATCTGGTAGGAGCAGACAGGTGGGAGACATTTAACATGGCTTCAGATAAACAAAAGTATGTGTTATAACACTTGTGATGGGTGTTGGGCTAAGTCAGTCTCTTCTGTTTTCTCTCTTTTGCCTTTTTATTTATTCTTGAGTTTGTTTCTTTATAGGTTCCTATAGAAATCTGTAGATAGTTGTTCACTTTGAATTAAGCAAGAGGACGAAAACTATTCATTTGGATCCAAGGTGAGTGTGAGCATGAGCACCCCTATTGATTGGGGATGGAAATGGGCTACTGGCAAGTAGGTGAGACCAGATCATATCTTGGAGCCATTGTCTTCCAACTTTCCAGACACTTCTATCCTCACATTTGTATATAGGAAATGGGGATAAGTTAAGCCAGGATTGTGCCTAGAGGGTAATTGATAGATACCCAGGAAATGGAGTGAGAAGCCATGAGGACCAAGGAGGCCAGCAACATTATATAACCAAAGTTCTAGATTTGGAAAGGCATGTATTGAGTTTAGAATTCAGAGGACCTGTTGTCTACCAAATACTCAAAATTCCAAACCTCCTGTATTTTGTCCATAGGTCTGCCTGTATATTGGCCGTAGGCCTTATCATTCCTGAAAGTAAGGAAGGGGAAGAAAATTGCACTAGGTGAGTATAGGTTGGTGTGAGGCCGATCTTGATAGACCTGGATGTTTCTTAGCCTTTCTCACTTTCAGTAAGCTTTTCCATTATCCCTGCTCCTATGTGATACAGAGAAAAGAGTGTGTTAGTGCCTGGGCAGTACATTGTTGGGCATTAGTGGGAGCGTGGAAGGGATAAAATGAGGTAACAGAGTTTTCTAATATTCCACTTCTACCACACAATCCATCTCTATTCTCATGTCTTGTGTGGCTGTCTGCCTGGAGAAGCACAGCTGGAAGAGACTTAAAGCTCATTTTCTTCTTCCACCTCAGATCCATCTCCAGTGGTGGCTATGGTGGCCTTGGAGTGGCAGATCATCACCTTCAACAGGTCTGAACTCAGGAACCATCATCTTCACTCAGGCTGATTGCCTCTGTCTTCTCTCTGTATCACTGACAGAGGCTGTGTGTTTGGAAAGGGGACTGTGTGACTGATGAGCTGATGACTAACTCTTGCTACAAAGTTTATGTCTGACCCAGTGAAAGAGTGTTAAGACATTGACCTGGGACACATTGAGAACCAAGGCCAAGATTGTATAGGTCTATATAACTGGTCTTCAACCATGACTGGGGCTAAGAATGAGAGTAAAAACAAAGCCAAAACTCAAAAAAGGGCTGGTATACAAGCTGAAGCAAAGAGGGAGTCTACTGCCATAGTCAGACCTATAGCCAAGACCCAGGACAAAGCAATAGCCAAGGCAGGGTCTCAAGCTGATGCAGCGGCAGTGACGAAGGCAAGGTCTAAGAACAGGATTGTTACTGAGATAAAGGAAAGAGCCCTGGCAGATTTCAGTCCCAAAGCTGACGATGAGGCCACTAGAGTATCTGGGATGTCTTCTGTGTCTGAGGCTAATGCTGAGTCCAGGTCCATATGTAAAGATAAGGCTGGTATTGATACCTGGTTTTGGGCTGGGGAAGAGGCCAATGTCGGTTCCTGGTTTTGGAATGGAGAAGAGGCTAGTAATCGTTCCAGTGCTAAGGATGAAGGTAAAGCTGGTATTGGTCCCCCATCCTGTGCTGAAAAGTTAGAGCCTGTGGCTGGGGCCAGCTGCAGAGCTAGGCCAGGGACTGAGGAGGAGGAGGAGGAAAATGTTATTGGGAACTGGTTTTGGGATGGAGATGAAGCTAGTTTTGATCCTAATCCTAGACCTGTGAGTAGGATAGTTAGGCCCCAGCCTGTGGATGAAATTAATGAAAAAAATAGGCCCAAGGACTGGTCTGAGGTAACTATCTGGCCCAAAGCCCCTGCTGTAACTCCAGCAGTGTTAGGATTTAGATCCCAAGTCCCATTTGAGACAAAGCCTCCTTCATATATTGTCCTGGCCTCAGCTGAGGAAAATACCCATTCTTTGCCTGTGGTAACAACATGCCCTTCTAGGAGCACTACTTCATGCTCACAGCCTGTCCCTGAGTACCCATTTGGTTCTGACCCTTGCATCCAGACTATAGAGGAGATTAGACGCCAAATCAGGATCAGGGAAGTGAATGGGATTAAGCCATTTGCTTGCCCTTGCAAAATGGAATGCTACATGGACTCTGAGGAATTTGAAAAACTTGTTACCTTACTTAAGTCAACTACTGATCCTCTCATTCATAAAATAGCTCAAATTGCAATGGGGATCACTAATGTTCATCCCTTTGCCCAAGAGTTTATTAATGAGGTGGGTGTAGTGACGCTTATTGAAAGCTTGCTCAGTTTTCCTTCCTCTGAAATCAGAAAAAAGGCCGTAATTACTCTGAATCCTCCTTCTGGGGATGAGAGACAACGCAAGATTGAATTACACGTTAAGCATATGTGTAAGGAAACCATGTCTTTCCCCTTGAACTCACCCGGACAGCAATCTGGATTAAAGATACTAGGGCAACTGACTGCTGATTCTAACCATCACCACATTGTTGGCAGTTACTTTTCAGAGCTTTTCCACTTGCTATCCCTGGGAAATCGTAAAACCAGAAATCTTGTTTTAAAAGTACTTTTGAATATGTCTGAAAATCCAGCTGCAGCCAGAGACATGATCAATACAAAGGCCTTAGCAGCATTAAAACTCATCTTTAACCAGAAAGAGGCAAAAGCCAATCTTGTTAGTGCTGTGGCCATATTTATTAACATAAAGGAGCATATCAGAAAGGGTTCAGTTGTAGTTGTTGATCACATGAGTTACAATACACTGATGGCCATTTTCCGTGAAGTTAAAGTAATTATTGAAACAATGTAAAATGAGCCAGAAATAAAAGTGAACGCTTTGAACAGTCTAATAGGCTGTGTATTCCCAAAGAGCCTTGCATAATATTTTGATTATTACAGTGTACACATTATAAATCACATCTGTAATGTGACATTACCTGCGACAGTCTCTAGGTTTGAGCTAGACCATTTTTGAGATATCAAATGAATATTGCACTGTAAGCTGAAAACATCTGTTGATTTTTATCTTGTGTAGATGGGCAACTTTTTAACATTTTACTTAAGATAGTGAACCAATTCATCTTAAGTAGGCTGAACTTATTCATTAGTATTTGCTTAGATCTATTTGTGGCTTCAAATGGCAAAAAAAAAGAAGGTATCATTGAATTTGTTATCTAGTTGCAGAAATAAAGCATATGCCCACAAAAAGATAACCAACAGCACTCACATATATCCATACATACACACATTCATTGCTGAATGTGCACTCAACATGTAAAGGCAGGAGTTGCTATAGGCTGTTTAATGTAAGAGGAATTACTGTTTGTCCCTTATTCTGCCTTCATCAGATAATTCATGGTAGGAATTATAACCACTGGTGTAAAATGAAGAGAATGTCTGTGTGTGTGAAAATATTAGGTTATATGCTTTGAGATTTCTCAATAGCTAAGAAACTAAAACAAGATCATACTGTAAATACTGTTTGTAACTTGCTTTTTTCCCCACTGTGTATTGTGAGCATCTTTCCATATCAATAAATGTGCTTCTATAACATATTTTTGAATCACTTAATGTTTTTTCTGTGTTAACAATTAGCGCATAGTGCCCTAATGTTTCATTGCATATCCCTCTTAAAAATATGCACACATTTATTCTTTTGGAAAAACAAGAGTATAGTATTCTGCAACTTGCCTCATCTTTATCTTTCCAATTTAGTATTATGCAGATCTAACACGAGATTTTTATTTAATAGCTTTATTGAGGTACAATTGACATACATTAATCCATACATATTTAAAGTATACAATTTGGGGGCACCGGGGTGGCTCATTGAGTTAAGCGTCTGGCTCTTGATTTCAGCTCAGGTCATGATCTCGGGATTGGTGAGATCGAGCCCAGCATCGGACTCTGCACTGAGCATGGGGCCTGCTTAAGATTCTCCTCTCTCTGTCCCTCCCTGCTTCTCTCTCTCTCTAAATTAAAAAAAAAAATTTTTTTAAGTATGTCATTTAATACATTTTGACAAATGTATACATATGTGAAACTATCACCACAGTTAAGATATTGAACATATCCATAACATATCCATCACCACCCCCAGAGTTTCTTCATGCCCCTTTTAATCCCTCCCACATTTCCCTATGTCTCCTTGCCTCCAAGCAACCACTGATCTGTTTTTTGACAATACAGAATTGTTTTCATTTTCTGAAATTTTATATAAATGGAACCATACAGCATGTATTTGGGGGAGTGGTCAGGGGTGTGTGGCTTCTTTACTCAGCGTAAGTATTTGAGACCCATCCATGTTATGTGTTTCAATAGTTCATTGCTTTTTTATTTCCAAGTAGTCTATATGGTAATATCACAGATTATCCATTTACCTGTTGATGGAGATTTGGGTTGTTGCCAGATTTGGGCTATTACAAATAAAGCTGCTATGAGCATTTGTATACAACTGTTTCTGTGGACATGTGCTTTGCTTTTCTCTTGGGTAAATACCTAGGAGTGGAATGGCTAGATCATACGGTAGGTATACATTTAACTTACATTTTCCAAAGTGGTTGTACTGTTTTACATTCCTGCAGCAGTGTGTGAGAATTCTGATTTCTCCACATGCTTTTTAACACTTTGTATGGTTGGTCTTTTTAATTTTAGCTATATCTCATTGTAGTTCTTTTTTCTTGAATTTAAGTATAGTTGACATACAATGATATATTAGTTTTAGGTGTATAACAGTGATTCAACATTTATATATGTTACAAAATGATCATGATAAGTCTAGCTACCATCAGTCACCATATAAAGCTGTTGCATATTATTAAGTATATTCTCTATGCTGTGCATTGTATCCTTGTGTCTTATTTTATAACGGTAAGTTTGTACCACTTAACCCCCTTCCCCTATTTTGCCAATTCCCTTCCTATACCCTCCCCTCTGGCAACCACCAGATTATCCTCTGTATCTATGAGTCTGTTTCTGTTTTGTTTGTTCATTTGCTTTTTAGGTTTCACATATAAGTAAAACTATATAATATTTTACTTTTTCTGTCTGACCTATTTCACTTGACAAAATATCCTCTAGGTCCATCCATGTCATGATTGGCAAGATTTCATTCTTTTGTATGACCGAGTAAAATAATCCATTGTATATGTACCACATCTTTATTCATCTATCAATGGACACTTAGGTTGCTTTCATATCATGGCTATTGTAAATAATGCTGCAATGAACATAGAAGTGCAAATATCTTTTTGAGTTAGTGTTGTCATTTTCCTCAGATGAACACCCAGAAGTGGAACTGCTGGATTGAATGATAATTCTATTTTCAGTTTTTTGAGGAATATCCATACTGTTTTCCATAGTGGCTGCACCATTTTGCATTCCCACCAACAGTGCAACAAGATTCCCTTTTCTCCACATCCTCATCAATATGTGGTATTTCTTATTGATACTAACCATTCTGCAAGGTGTAAACTGATGCTGTGGTTTTGATTTGCATTTCCCCAATGATCAGTAATGTTGAGCAACTTTTCATGTTGGCCATCTGTATGTCTTCTTTGGAGAAATGTCTATTCAGGTCCTCTGCCTATTTTTTAATTGGATCGTGGTTTTTTTTGTTTTGTTTTTTTTTTTTTTATATATTGAGTATATGAGTGTGTATATATATAGGATTTAACCACTTATCAGTTTTCTCATTTGAGACATCTTTTCCCATTCAGTAGGTTGCCTTTTCATTTTGTTGATGGTTTCCTTTGCTGTGCAAAAGCTTTTGTTTGATGTAGTTCCATTAGTTTATTTTCGCTTTCCTTGCTCGAGGAGATAGATCCAAAAAAATATTGCTCAGACTGATACCCAAGACTTTACTGCCTGTGTTTTCTTTCTCATTGTAGTTCTAATTTGCCTTTCTCTAATGACGAATGATGTTGACTATCTTTTCATATGCATATTTGCCATCCATATATTTTGGGTGAAGTTTATGTAAATGTTTTGCTCTTTTTTTTTTTTTAAACTGGGTTCATTTTTATTGTTGATTTGTAAGAGTTGTTATTATATATACTGGATACAAGTCTATTATCAGATATATGTTTTACAAATAGTTTCTCCCAGTCTATGGATTGTTTTTTAATCTTAAAAATGACTTTTGAAGAATAGAAGTTTTAAATTTTGATAAGGAACAGTCCTTTACCAGTTGTATTTTGCTGTTTTTTTGAGAAACCATTGCCTAACCAAGGTCACAAAGATTTTATACTATATTCTAAAAATTTTACAGTTTTAGGTGTCACATTTAGGTCTGATCCATTTTGAGATTTTGTATATTGTCCAAGTTATAAGTTAAAGTTCATTTTTTGGCATAGTGATATCCAGTTATTGCAGCATCACTTGCTTAAAAGACTTCTTTCTCCCTTGAGTTGTCTTTGTTGCATCTTTGTCAAAAAATCAGTTGTCCCTGTATGTATGGATCTGTTTCTAGACTCTTTCTGTTCCATTGATGTACTGGTGTATCTTGATTGCAATGCCACGCTGTCTTGATTACTGTAGCTTTATAATTTCTTGAAATCAGGCAGTGTGAGTCATTTAACTTTATCATTTTTCAAAGTTATTTTGGTTATTTTTACTTTTGTTTTTCCATATAAATTTTAGAATCTGCTGATCCATTTCTACAAAAACTCCAGCTGGGATTTTGATTGAGATAGTTCTAAATCAGTAGATTAATTAAGGAGAAATAACATCTTAACAGTGTTGAATCTTCTGACCCATGAACAAAATATCTCTCTCTGCTTATTTAGGTCTCCTTTGATTTCTCTCAGCAGCATTTTGTAGTTTTGCAACATAACTTTTTAGTATATTCTTTCATATTCATATTTTTTCCTGTGAAAATGGATGTATCCCTGTTTATATCTTCATACCTGTTTGAATATTTCTGTATGATAAATTCCTTGAAGTGGAACTTCTTTGTCAAAAGTCATGAATGGCAGTGCCCTCCTGCCAAAAACCACCAGGAATATGTCTGTATTTGAACAAGTTTGGTTGCAAAGAGAAAGAACATGTACCATGGCAAATAATGTGGTACTTCAAGAAGAGGGTTTTAGAAATGACTTATTATAGGATTAGGACTTTGGTTAGGTGATTTAGGGGAGGGTTTAAGGAAGTGAGGCTTTGCTGTAGATTGAAAGTTGTTTGGAAGCATGAGTACTTGAAGCATGATTTGCTATCTAAAAAAATCTTACTTTACAAATGGGGAAGACTAGGCCAGGGCTACAGTTGTGATAGGTAAAGAAGCAGAAGTCACTCATATTAGCCAGAATAAGGGGATATTTGGTTATTTTTGTGATCTGGACAATGTCTCCCAGTGTTCATACATGATTACATAGTGGTCTTGTTTTTCTCTTGATATATCACAGTCATAGAGTGACTTTATCTGATATTAATGTTCTATGAAGTTGTTTATATTCAACAAGAGAATACCAGGGCCTGGCTCTGAGTGCCAGGCCAGCTCCTAGATGTCAGGGGCTGCATTTCTTCTCATGGATATTTACAAATTTTGACATATACTGGCCAACTGACTTCTAAAATATATCCACTCAACCCATGGAGCATGAATGTCTATTTCTTCATATACTTGCCAACACATCAATATTATCAGTCTTTGCTACTCTGAGGGGCAAAAAAAAGAAACCTCTCTCTGTCATTTTTATAACATTTTAAAGTTTACATAATATTCCATATTATGAATGTGACAACTGAGTCACACCTCTATATTCTGTTGGGTAATTCTAGGGATGTAAAGATGGACCCCATCACCTAGTGGGAAGGGAGTGGAGTATATACATGTATATATCACTTTCCCTATCTTATGCCCCCTCATTGCAACTCTTCCCCTGTGATCTTCAGATTCAGGCCCTCACAAGTACTACTGACTGACAACCAGAAAAGCTGTATCACTTTACACTCCATGAGCTAAATTTAAAACAGAAGAGTGAAGAGTTTAGCTATGCTGACACTGTTTTACAGAATTTTGTTCTGAATTGTGTTATGGACCCACACTCAGGCAACAGCTATGGTCAGTAGACTAGCAAGTGATATGTACACAGAAGTACAGCTGAGGACAGAATAGGAATTATTAATGAAACAAGCAAAAGCTTTGCAGTGAGAAAAACTGCTTTCCAGTCACAGCTGTATAAAGATTATATTGTTATATAGGTATATATTGTCATAAAGATTAATTGTATAAAGATTAATTGTATTTTAAGTACTTTAGATTAAAGACATTGGTCATTCTTAGATAAGCTTCAGAACAGCATCATAATTAATCATGAGTTGATAAAAAGCTTCAGTAAATCAACATGCAGATTTTGCTTTAAAAGATCATGGGGCCACCTTAGCTTACTCTGGACAACTACTCTCAGAGTTACATACCCTGTCAGCAAATGTCTGAAAGAAGCTCTGGCTATTTATCTCCTAGAGGTGCCATGTCCCCCTTACTAGTCATTACCAAGGTTTCCCTAAAGGAGAGAACAGCAGAAACATGCAAACTGTTTCTTGTGTATGTTGAACACTTCATTTAGCAAACTAAACTTGGCTATCATGGTTGTGATACACAAAATAAAGCAAAGTATAAAAATCCTGGGGTAGAATATTTTTTTTTCTCCAGAAATTGTTAATCATCCATGTGGGAAGGGGAGACTTGCTACTCTACTCCTCACAGCCCAGTTAAGTACTTGTGCAAACCTCTAAAATATGTCAAGGAAAGAAAAATACCATATGATTTCACTCATATGTAGAATTTAAGAAATGAAACAAATCAAGAAAAAAAGAAGGAAAAACAGTCTTAAATACAGAGAACAAGCCGGTGGTTGCCAGAGGAGAGGTGAGTGGAGGTGATGGGTGAAATAGATAAAGGAGATTAAGAGTATGCTTATCGTGATGAGCACTGAGTAATGTATAGAATTATTGAATCATTATACTGTACACCTGAAACTAATATAACTGTATGTTAATTACACTTCAATAAAAATTATGTTAAAGGTAGAAGGAGACAAGCTGGTGGAAGAGTAAGGGACCTCGTTTCATCTGGTCTCTTGAATTTAATCGGATATCTATCAAATCATTCTGAATACCTATGAATTCAACCTGAGATGTAAGAGAATTGCTGGAATTCTACAAATAGAAAAGCGACTACTTTTTGCAAGGTAAGAGGTGAGGAGAAGTGACTCTGAGGGGATATATATTGGAAGATAAATGGCCGGCGGGGGGGGGGGAGGGAACCTCCAAAAGCCAGCTATTGGAAAGTGATATAGCCCCAGAGTGCAAAATCAGAACTTTTAGAAGTCTGCTCCAGTGAGAAACATCCCTGCCTGAAAGGTGCTCAGGTGATGAAGCGGGGCAGAATCCTAGGTGGGATAGTGTGGATCCCTGGAGTCACAGAAAGAACGGGGCTACCTGAGCCAGCAGAGTTCCCAAGCATTAGAGTGGGGAAATCAACTACAGTCAGTGAGCCCAGGAGTGGGCTCTCAGCTTGGGGTTTGCCATAACCTGTGAACTATGGCACGATTGGACAACATCTCTCCCTACAGGGCCCTGCAAAAGGCAGAAACACAGAGATCCTCCTCCTTCCCCTGAGAGGGGCATCACAGGTGCAGCATGCAGGATGGAGTGACTGCTCTCCCTGTGGGGACCCTTCAAATGGTATGCCCGTGGTGACCATCCTCCCTCACACAGGAGGATCTGCGCTGGTGTGCACCGCAAGAGACTCAGAGTTGGTGCAAACAAAAGTGAAGACTGCTTTTCCCTGAGGGTTTACTGAAAAGAGGGGACCACAATAGTTCAGCTCCAGGACTGGAGATAGGGTGCCACCATTTTTATTTTCACACTCAAAAGCAGCTTGGAAAGCCTTCAGGGAACAAAAGCCACATAGAGCAACCCAAAGCAGCTTATACTGAGCCCAGCCACCTGGCAAAGGGCAGTGCAACTCCACCCAGGAAAAGACACCTGAGATTCAGGGCAGCAGACCCTTCCCCCAGAAAATCAGCTGGAACATCAGGAGAATACCAAGATTACCAAGCACACAGAACTGTAAAACTCCAGCACTAGGGGAAAATACTATATAGAATTCAAGGTTTTTTCTCATGATCCTTTTATCTTTCAGTTTAAAATTTTTTTGTTTTTTCATTTTTTCCTTTTCAACTAGTTATTTTATCAATTCCTTGTTTTTAAGTTTTTTTAACTTTCATTTTTTATTTACATTATATATATATATATTCTTCATTTATGGCTTCCTTTCAATGTATTCAATTTTATTTTGTATATATGTAAGTTTTGCTTTCTTTACAATTTTGGGATTTAGTGTCTTCTAACAAACAGACCAAAATACACCCAGGACCCAGTGGATCACCCTGTTTTGCCCACCTGGAAGATTATATTCTCTACTTTTCCCCCTTTTTCTTTTTCTTTCTTTTTTGGTTTCTAACTTCTTCGGATTTGTCTGGTGTATATTTCACTTGGGTCGTGGTTGATATTTTTGATTTTGTTTGCTCGTTCATCCATTCTTTGGGCAAAATGACTAGAAAGAGGAATATACAACAAAGGAAAAAAAACAGAGGTAATACTCTGCCACAGATCTAATCAATATGGATATAACTAAAATGTCAGAGCTGGAATTCAGGATAACAATTATAAAGTTACTAGCTGGGCTTGAAAAAAGCATAAAAGACATTAGAGAATCTCTTAGTGAAGAAATAAAATCGAATGAGGCCAAAATTAAAAATGCTTTAACTGAGACACAGTCCAAATTGGATGCTCTAACAGCTAGAGTAAATGAGGCAAAAGAGTCAGTGACATAGAAGATAAGATAATGGAAAGGAAGGAAGCTGAGGAAAAGAGAGAAAAATAACTAATGGACATGAGAGAAGGCTTCAAGAAATCAGTGTTATCATAAAGCTAAACAATATTAGAATCATTGAGGTACCAGAGGAAGAAGAAAGAGAGAGAGGGAAAGAATGTATATTTGAGCAAATCATAGCTGAGAACTTCCCTAATCTGGGGAGGGAAATAGGCATTCAAATCCAGGAAGTAGAGAGAACCCCCCTCAAAATCAATAAAAATAGATCTATGCCCTGACATATAACAGTGAAACTTGTAAATTTCAGAGATAAAGAGAAAATCCTGAAAGCAGCTTGAGAGAAGAACTCCTTAGCAACAGGGGTAGGAACACTAGACTGTCAGCAGACCTAATCAGAGACGTGGCAGGCCAGAAAGGGTCGGCATGATATATTCAGGGTAGTAAATGAGAAAAACATGCAGCCAAGAATACTTTATCCAGCAAGGCTGTCATTCAGAATGGAAGACGAGATAAAGAGCTTCCAGGACAAACAGAAACTAAAAGAATTTGTGATCACTAAACCAGCCCTGTAAAAAATATTTAAGGGGATCCTGTAAGCAAAGAGAGATCCCAAAAGAAACATAGATCAGAAAGAAATAGAAAAGATCTACAGAAACAGGGACTTTACAGGTAATAGAATGGCATCAAATTCATATCTTTCAATAGTTACTCTGAATGCAAATGGGATAAATGCTCCAATCAAAAGACACAGGGTATCAGATTGGATAAAAAAAGCAAGACCCATCCATATGCTGTCTACAAGAGACTCATTTTAGACATAAAGACACCACCAGATTGAAAGTGAGGGCATGGAGAACCATTTATCATGGTAATGGACATAAAAGAAAGCTGAGGTAACAATCCTCATATCAGACAAATTAGATTTTAAACCAAAGACTGTAGTAAGGGATGAAGAGGAACACTATGTCATACTTAAAGGGTCTATCCAAAAAGAAAATCTAACAATTATAAATATTTATGTTCCTAAATTGGGAGCAGCTAATTATATCAACCAATTAATAACAAAATTAAAGAAATATGTTGATAGGGGCGCCTGGGTGGCTCAGTCATTAAGCGTCTGCCTTTGGCTCAGGTCAAGATCCCAGCGTCCTGGGATCGAGCCCCGCATGGGGCTCCCTGCTCCACGGGAAGCCTGCTTCTCCCTCTCCCACTCCCCCTTCTTGTGTTCCCTCTCTCACTGTGTCTCTGTCAAATAAATAAATAAAATCTTCAAAAAAAATTAAAAAAAAAAGAAATACATTGATAATAATACAATAATACTAGGGGACTTCAACATCCCACCCACAGCAATGGAAAGATCATCTAAACAGAAGATCAACAAGGAAACGAGGGCTTTGAATGACACACTGGATAAGATGGACTTCACAGATATATACAGAGCATTCCATCCTAAAGCAACAGAATACACATTCTTCTCAAGTGCACTTAGAACATGCTCCAGAATAGATCACATACTGGGTCAGAAATCAGATCTCAAGTGGTACTAAAAGATTGGGATTATTCCCGGTATATTCTCAGACCACAATGCTTTGAAACTTGAACTCAATCACAAGAGGAAATTTGGAAGGAACGCAAACACTTGGAGGTTAAAGAGCATCTTACTAAAGAATGAATGGGTCAACTAGGAAATCAAAGAAGAATTAAAAAAATTTATGGAAACAAATGAAAATGAAAACACAACTGTTCAAAACCTTTGGGATACAGCAAAGACGGTCCTAAGAGGGAAGTACATAGCAATATAAGCCTTTCTTAAGAAACTAGAAAAGTCTCAAATACACAAGCTGCCATTACACCTAAAAGAGCTTAAGAAAGAACAGCAAATAAAGCCTAAAACAAGCAGGAAAACAGAAATAATATCAATTAGAGCAGAAATCAATGAAATAGAAACTAAAACAACAGAACAGATCAATGAAACTAGAAGCTGGTTCTTTGAAGGGATTAATAAGATCAATAAACCCCTAGCCAGATTTATCAAAAAGAAAAGAGAAAGGACCCAAACTAATAAAATCATGAAAGAAAGAGATTACGACCAACACCAAGGAAATACAAAAAATTATAAGAGAATATTATGAGCAACTATATACCAACAAATTAGGCAATCTGGAAGAAAGGGATGCATTCCTAGAAACTTATAACCTACTAAAACTGAAACAGGAAGAAATAGAAAACCTGAGCAGACCCATAACCAGCAAGGAAATTGAAGCAGTAATCAAAAATCTCCCAACAAACAAGAGTCTAGGGCCAGATGGCTTCCCAGCGGAATTCTACCAAATATTTAAAGAAGAACTAATACTTATTCTCCTGAATCTGTTTCAAAAAATAGAAAAGGAAGGAAAACTTCCAAACTTGTTCTCTGAGGCCCGCATTGCCTTCATTCCAAAACCAAAGACCCCACCCAAAAGGAGAATTACAGAGTAATATCCCTGATGAACACGGATGCCAAATTCTCACCAAGATAATAGCCAGTAGGATCCAACAGTACATTAAAAGGAGTATTCACCATTGACCAACTGGGATTCATTCCTGGGCTGCAAGGGTGGTTCAACATTCACAAATCAATCAGTGTGATACATCACATTAATAAAAGAAAGGACAAAAAGAGTATGGTCCTCTCAATTGATGCAGAAAAAGCATTTGATGAAATAAAGCATCCTTTCTTGATAAAAACTCTCAGCCATGCCTCAATATCAAAGGACATATACAAAAAACCCACAGCAAATATTATCCTCAATGGGGAAAAAATGAGAGCTTTTCCCCTAAGGTCAGGAACATGATAGGGATGTCCACTCTCATCCCTGTTGTTCAACATAGTACTAGAACTCCTAGCCTCAGCAATCAGACAACAAAAAATAAATAAAAGACATCCAAAAAGGGAAGGAATAAATCAAACTTTCAGTCTTCACAGACGACTTGACACTCTATGTAGAAAACCCAAAAGACTCCACCCCAAAATTGCTAGAACTCATACAGGAATTCAGCAACATGGCAGGACATAAAATCAATGCAAGGAAATCAGTTGCATTTCTTTTTTTTATGTCTTTTATTTTTTTTTGGTCCTGCTTTTTTATTTTTATGACTTAGTCCCCCTGATGTGTTTATTTAATTATTTTAATTTAAATTATATTAATTAACATTTAATGTATTATTTGTTTCAGGGGTATAGGTCTGTGATTCATCAGTCTTATATAATACCCAGTGCTCATTACAACACAAACCCTCCCCAATGTCCATCCCCTCCACCCCTCCCCTCCAGCAACCCAAAAGAGACTCTTAATCTCAGTTGCATTTCGATTTACTAACAATGAGGTAGAAGAAAAAGAAATTAAGGAATCTATCCCATTTACAACAAAAACCATAAGATACCTAGGAATAAAACTAATCAAAGAGGTAAAGGCTCTGTACTCTGAAACTATAGAACACTTATGAAAGAAATTGAGGAAAACAAAAAGAAATGGAAAAATATTCCATGCTCACAGATTAGAAGAACAAATATTGTGAAAATGTCTATGCTACCTAGAACAATCTACACATTTAATGCAATCCCTATCAAAATACCATAAACTTCTTTTCAAAGAAATGGAACAAAAGATCCTAAACTTTGTATCAAACCAGAAAAGACCTCAAATAGCCAGAGGAATGTTGAAAAAGAAAAGCAAAGCTGGTGGCATCACAATTCCGGACTTCCAGCTCTATTACAAAGCTGTAATCATCAAGACAGTATGGTACTGGCACAAAAACAGAGATATAGAGCAATGGAACAGAAGAGAGAACCCAGAAATGGACTCTCAATGCTATGGTCAACAGATCTTCAACAAAGCAGGAAAGAATATCCAATGGAAAAAAAGATAGTCTTTCCAACAAATGGTGTTGGGAAAATGGGACAGCCACATGCAGAAGAATGAAACTAGACCATATTCTTACACCACACACAAAGAAAAACTTGAAATGGAAGAAAGGCCTAAATGTGAGACAAATCCATCAAAATTCTGGAGGCAAACAGAAGCAGCAGCCTCTTTGACCTTGGCTGCATCCCCCCCACCCCCCCTCCCCTCTAAAACCTTCAGTTTGTTTCTCAGAGTCCATAGTCTCTCATGGTTCATCTCTCCCTCTGATTTCCCCCCTTCATTTTTCCCTTCCTTCTCCTAATGTCCTCCCTGCTATTCCTTATGTTCCACAAATAAGTGAAACCGTATGATAATTGACTTTCTCTGCTTGACTTATTTCACTTAGCATAATCTCCTCCAGTCCCATCCATGTTGATGTAAAACTTGGGTATTCATCCTTTCTGATGGCTGAGTCATCTTCCATTGTATATATGGACCAACTCTTCTTGATCCATTCATCTGTTGAAGGGCATCACAACTCTTTCCACAGTTTGGCTATTGTGGACATTGCTGCTATGAACATTGGGGTGCATGTGGCCCTTTTCACTACATCTGTGTCTTTGGGGCAAATACTCTGTAGTGAAATTGCTGGGTCATAGGGTAGCTCTATTTTTAATTTTTTGAGGAACCTCCACACCGTTTTCCAAAGTGGCTGTACCAACTTGCATTCCCACCAACAGTGTAAGAGGGTTCCCCTTTCTACATAACCCATCCAACATTTGTTTTATCTTGCCTTGTCAATTTTTGCCGTTCTAACTGGTGTAAGGTGGTATCTCAATGTGGTTTTGATTTGAATTTCCCTGATGACTAAATATGATGAACATTTTTTCATGTGTCTCTTAGCCATTTGTATGTCTTTTTCAGAGAAGTGTCTGTTCATGTCTTCTGCCTATTTTTTGACTTGATTATTTGTTTTTTGGGTGTTGAGCTTGAGAAGTTCTTTATAGATCTTGGATACCAGCCCTTTATCTGTAGTGTCATTTGCAAATATCTTCTCCCATTCTGTGGGTTGTCTCTGCTTTGTTGACTGTTTCCTTTGCTGTGCAGGAGCTTTTTATCTTGATGAAGTCCCAAAAGTTCATTTTTGCTTTTGTTTCACCAGCTTTTGGAGATGTATCTTGAAAGAAGTTGCTGTGGCCAATGTCAAAGAGGTTACTGCCTATGTTCAACTCTAGGATTTTGATGGGTTCCTGTCTCACATTGAGGTCTTTCATCCATTTTGAGTTTATCTTTTTGTATGGTGTTAGAGAATGGTCGAGTTTCATTCTTCTGTATATAGCTGTCCAATTTTCCCAGCACCATTTATTGAAGAGACTGTCTTTTGTCCATTGCATATCTTTTCCTGTTTTATCGAAGATTATTTGATCATAGAGTTGAGGGTCCATATCTGGGCTCTCTATTCTGTTCCACTGCTCTATACGTCTGTTTTTGTGCCAGTACCATGCTGTCTTGGTGATCACTGATTTGTAATATAGCTTAAAATCAGGCAACGGGATGCCCCCAGCTTTGTTTTTCTTTTTCAACATTTCCTTGGCGATTCGGGGTCTTTTCTGATTCCATACAAATTTTAGGATTGTTTGTTCCAGCACTTTGAAAAATGTCATTGGAATTTTGATCAGGATAGCATTGAAGGTATAGATTGCTCTGGGTAGCATAGACATTTTAACAATGTTTATTCTTCTGATCCATGAGCATGGAATGTTTCTCCATCTTTTTGTGTCTTCTTCAAATTCTTTCATGAGTGTTCTGTAGTTCCTAGAGTATAGATCCTTTACCTCTTTGGTTAGGTTTATTCTGAGGTATCTTATGGTTTTTGGTGCTATTGTAAATGGAATCATTTCTCTAATTTCTCTTTCTACGGTTGCATTATTAGTGTATAAGAAAGCAACTGATTTCTGTGCATTGATTTTGTATCCTGCCACATTACTGAATTGTTGTATGAGTTCTAGTAATTTGGGGGGGGGGGAGTCTTTTGGATTTTCCACATAAAGTATCATGTCATCTGCGAAGAGAGAGAGTTTGACTTCTTCTTTGCCAATTTGAATACCTTTTATTTCTTTTTGTTGTCTGATTGCTGTTGCTAGGACTTCTAGTACTATGTTGAACAATAGTGGTGAGAGTGGGCACCCTTGACGTGTTCCTGATCTTAAGGGAAAGGCTCTCAGCTTTTCCCCATTGAGGATGATATTCGCTGTGGGTTTTTCATAGATGGATTTTATGAACTTGAGGAATGTTCCCTCTATCCCTATACTCTGAAGAGTTTTAATTGGGAAAGGATGCTATAGTTTGTCAAATGATATTTCTGCATCAATTGAGAGGACCATATGGTTCTTCTCACTCCTCTTATTAATGTGTTCTATCACATTGATTGATGTGCAAATGTGGAACCACCTTGCATCCCAGGGATAAATCCCACTTGGTCATGGTGGATGATCCTTTTAATGTATTGTTGGATCCTATTAGCTAGGATTTTGTTGAGGATTCTGGAATCCATATTCATCAGGGATATCAGTCTGAAATTCTCCTTTTTGTCAGGGTCTTTGCCTGGTTTGGGGATTAAGGTAATGCTGGCCTCATAGAATGAGTCTGGAAGCTTTCTTCCTGTTTCTATTTTTTGAAACAGCTTCAGGAGAATAGGAATTATATCTTCTTTGAATATTTGGTAGAATTCCCCAGGGAATCCGTCAGGCCCTGGACTCTTGTTTTTTGGGAGGTTTTTGATCACTGCTTCAATCT